AGGATTTTGGAGCTTTATTGCTATGCATTCCATTTTTTTCCCACTACTTTACATGGTTCTATTTATCCCTTAGTGTATTTATTCAGCTTCACTTAACCCCCTTCCTCTCTTTTTGGTACGACAATGTGGTAATCTGGCTAGTGGCTCTCTTTTGATGCTGCTTCATTGCCTCTGATATTGTCTACAGCTGGTGCTTTTTTGAACTTCAAGTAGTGTAACTGTTTATCTGTGGTGTTCCCCTCTTCACCCACCCCACCCTGCAAAAAAGATGGTTGCTTTATGCAAAGATGTTGTGCAGCTTGGCCCAAATAGAATAGATAAACTGCTGCTCCCGGTGCCAGGAAGGCGCAATAAAATGAGGTTTTCCTAATATTTGCTCTGGGTTGTGGGAGCATACTTCTAGGTACAGGCAGATCTTTTCCTCATATATACCTTCCCTCTTCTGTCTCACTGCTAAAATAGAATAGTAATAAGTAATATTAAAACCTTGCACTTACATAATGTTTTGTATCTGTAGCTCTCAGAGCTTTTGCAAAAGCAAGCATTATTATCCCCATTTTATAGATGGAGTAAATGAGAGGTTAAGTGACTTGCCTAAAGTCACAGAGTGAGTCAGATTGAGAGTCTGGGGTGGATTCTAGGTCTTTTATATATCAGCCTTGAGTCCCTTTCTCGGATCCCTGTCTTAAAAAATTAAAGTGTGTGTTTGAGCTTTGCCATTCATTCTGTTGCCGGACATAGATTTGGCATGTGCACTTTCTACATAAATTGGGTCATATTCTGCATCTAAATCTAAGTCATACAAGTGCCATTATTTAATGAAATATACAAGCTATTCCATGTGCATATACTGAGCTCTTGTCCGAGTCTCCACATTTTCTAACCTGTACCCCAGCTCCTTAGTTAGTTTGTTAGTTATTTATTAACAGAAATTTGCTTTCTTGTTTGAACAGAGGGATCCACTTGAGCCCAAAAAAGAGGTGCCTTTTGGACATTGCTTTGTAGTCCAGTTTGTCTAGTTTGAAGTGCAGTGTTTTAAGGACAGAATGTACAGAGCAAGCTTAGAATCATAGAAGATTAGGGTTGGAAGAGACCTCAGGAGGTCATCTAGTCCAACCCACTGCTCAAAGCAGGATCAACACCAACTAAATCATCCCAGCCAGGGCTTTGTCAAGCCAGGCCTTAAAAACCTCTATGGATGGAGATTCCACCACCTCCCTAGGTAATCCATTCCAGTGCTTCACCACCCTCCAATAAAATAGTTTTTCCTAATATCCAACCTAGACCTCCCCCACTGCAACTTGAGACCATTGCTCCTTGTTCTGTCATCTGCCACCACTGAGAACAGCCCAGCTCCATCCTCTTGGAGCCCCCCTTCAGGTATTTGAAGGCTGCTATCAAAACTCCCTTCACTCTTCTGTTCTTCAGACTAAATAAGCCCTGTTCCCTCAGCTTCTCCTCATAAGTCATGTGCCCCAGCCCCTAATCATTTTCATTGCCCTCCGCTGGATTCTCTCCAATTTGTCCATATTCTTTCTGTAGTGGGGGGCCCAAAACTGGATGCAATACTCCAGATGTGGCCTCACCAGTGCCGAATAGAGGGGAATAATCATTTCCCTTGATCTGCTGGCAGTGCTCCTATTAATGCAGCCCAATATGCCATTAGCCTTCTTGGCAACAAGGGCACACAGTTGACTCATATCCAGCTTCTCATCCACTGTAATCTGCAGGTTCTTTTCAGCAGAACTGCCGCTTAGTCAGTCAGTCCCCAGCCTGTAGCGGTGCATGGGATTCTTCCATCCTAAGTGCAGGACTCTGCACGTGTCCTTGTTGAACCTCATCAGATTTCTTTTGGCCCAATCCTCCAATTTGTCTAGGTCACTCGGGACCCTATCCCTACCCTCCAGCATATCTGCCTCTACCCCACCCCACCCCCCCGCTTAGTGTCATCCGTGAACTTGCTGAGGGTGCAATCCATCCCATCATCCAAATCATTAATGAAGATGTTGAACAAAACCGACACCAGGATCGACCCCTGGGGTACTCCGCATGATACCGCTGCCAACTAGACATCGAGCCGTTGATCACTACCCACTGAGCCAGACAATCTAGCCAGCTTTCTATCCACCTTATAGTCCATTCATCCAATCCATACTTCTTTATCTTGCTGGCAAGAATACTGTGGGAGACTGTATCAAAAGCTTTGCTAAAGTCAAGGTATATCACGTCCACCACTTTCCCCTTATCCACAGAGCCAGTTATCTCATCATAGAAGGCAATCAGGTTGGTCAGGCATGACTTGCCTTTGGTGAATCCATGCTGACTGTTGCTGATCACCTTCCTCTCCTCCAAGTGCTTCAAAATGGATTCCTTGAGGACCTGCTCCATGATTTTTCCGGGGACCAGATTCTCCTTCTTCCCTTTTTTAATCAAGCAACCCACGCTTCTTGGGACCCTTTTTTAATTCTAAAAGGGATTGCAGGGAGTCATTGGGGGGGGGGGACAGAGGTAAGTGAGGAAAATGGCATGGTTCCTTGGTGCTTTTGGTCTCCCAACAGAATCCTAAAAGAAATCACTAACAGGATGCTTACATATTTCTTCTTTAGGCCTAAGCTTACAAAAATAGCCTTCATTATTTTGGGTGTGAATAATTTGCACCTGCAGTTGCATTCGTTTAGAGCCTAATGATTTGATTGAATCTTTAAAAAAAACAAAAAAACCCACAGTAATTCAGCATGTAAATAGGTACAATAACTGGTGCAAATGCCTACACCTGCAGTTCTTCACCGTGTAATTGTGGACACAGCTTGCAGTATTGAAGGCTTGCTAAAAACCTGGGCTTTACATTTTACCATAATAATCTGAACATGTGAGACGTTACCCCGAAGTAATATCTTCAAAAGATATAGAGCCAGATTGTGCCTGGCTTCTGTCTAAAATGATGCACAAAGGGAGAAGAAGGTTCAAGAAGCCCCCCTCTGGCCCTCAGCAGTTGAGCCCATGGTTTTATCATTGGCCTTTAAAAGAAGGCCACTGCCTTTGTCCAAATGGGTTGTGAGCTCTTCATTCATGTTAGTGTAATTGTCAAAGAAATGCTGTGTGGATAGTTTCTGTTCCCTCCAGGTAAATGTAGATGAATAAAGACCCCAACTAAAGGAAATAATAGAAGCCTTGACGAGGCACTAGACGGGGTGGCCAACCTGTGGCTCCGGAGCCGCATGTGGCTCTTCAGAGGTTAATATGCGGCTCCTTACCTAGGCACTGATTCCCGGGCTGGAGCTATAGATGCTAACTTTCCAATGTGGTGGGGGTGCTCACTGCTCAACCCCCTGCTCTGCCCCAAGCCCTGCCCCCACTCCACCCCTTCTCCCAAGGCCCCTGCCCCTTCCCCTGAGCCTTGCATGTCCTCGCTCCTGCCCCCTTCTCCCTCCCCCTCATAAGCCTCCTGCGCATGTGAAACAGCTGATTGTGGGGGAGGGGGGGTAGGCACTGATTGGTGGGGTGCTGCTGATGTATTACTGTGGCTCTTTGGCAATGTACATTGGTAAATTCTGGCTCCTTCTCAGGCTCAGGTTGGCCACCCCTGCACTAGACAATAAATATAGGCGTTGGCTCAGACTGAAAACGTCTTTTCTAGCTCTAATTTGTGTGGTTTACCTGTAATATTTCCAGTAGCAAATATGACAGAAACTAAAATCTTTTAATAACAGGTTTAACGAACAAAATATGCCCATGAAGTCACTATTCTATGGAGAATCCATCACTAGGTTTGCTTTTCTTTGGATGTGTGTGATTTTCATTAACTGTCATATTAGCTCTGTGTGATCTATTGGTTGGGCATATCTGGTTCCACTGCAAAACAACAAATCATGGCCATGTGCAGAAAATAATTTAATTTAAAATGAAAAGAAACTACGCTATAAAATGTCATTTTGGGGAAGGGGGGAAGGGGAGAACATGCGCAAGGTCCTTTATAATTAGTCATCCAAAATAAATGTATTATTTAGGAGCTATTTTAAGGCAGGCTGGCTGAAAATATGTTTTATTAAGCAATGTAAAAATAATTCACAGTACGTTATAGCATACACAGAGTAATCTTTTGTGATTGTTTTTGAAATATATGTTGATTGTTTCATAATTTAGATTATTTATCTTACAAGGAACAGTAACTCAATTGCTTCTCAATTGTGTATCTTACAAAATAGCTCCTTAATGGAGCACATACTGAAAAACACTAAAGAAAAGAATTGGTTAGTGACTTCTGCTTATGAGTACATGACTAAGGCCTGGGAGAACATGCTGCTAAAATTACTTACTAATGATCTATGAAAACCAAGAGACTGGCTGAACATGCAGTTATATATATGACTGAGAAGGGGTGGGGGATACTGGCCCTAGTGACCAAAATACTTTCATAATTCGTGCAATAGTTGTGAGCACATCTTTGCTCACACACAATCCTTAATTTGTAAAAAGCAACAGAGGGTCCTGTGGCACCTTTAAGACTAACAGAAGTATTGGGAGCATAAGCTTTCGTGGGTAAGAACCTCACTTCTTCAAATTCCCAGACTTCTGATAGTCTTAAAGGTGCCACAGGACCCTCTGTTGCTTTTTACAGATTCAGACTAACACGGCTACCCCTCTGATACTTGAATCCTTAATTTGCATATGCATGTGAGCAGTCCCATTGGTTTGGGGCCTAACGTGGGCATATTTCATTTGGTATGTTCAAACTGAAGTAGTTATGTTGTTGAAAATAAACACATTAACACATAAATGATCATGAAACTTGCTCTTACAGAATCAAGGGTATTCTTTAAAACGACAAGATGAATTAGTCTCATTCACTTTAGCTGAACTGTAATGTATGGGGGTCTCGCCTGTGTCCTTTTTCATTAACATGTTGGGGGAAAAGATCAGATTTTGATCATTAACAAAGTAAAATGCCTTGCTGTGTGTAAGGTGTCTACTGTGCAGCTTACCGAAACCTCTTGTTTTAGCAGATTCCATGCAGGGCTTGATAGATGGAGTGTTTGTCTTTGAAGATCTTTCTATGGAAGACAGTAAGACTATACAGGGCTATGATGCAATTGTTGTGGAACAATGGACTGTCCTAGAAGTAAGTATATCATTTACTATAATTTGGTTTTCACCTTCACGGTATTGTAATATTTTTCTAAATCACAAGCTGTCAAGATGGTGTAGTAGACTTTCACATACTTCAGAAATACTACATGTGTTACTGAGGTAAAGGAAAGAGGGCTTGAAAACATGATATGGTAAGTGGGATGCGTACGTGGCTTGATAAGATATGTTTCCTGTGTTGTACGTTGCAGTTCTCAGCTAAACTGTTTGAGGGGCATGAGTGTTGGTGACAGACAGAACTCAAGACCCTTCTGTTCCAAAAATATATGCCTCTGCTACATGAACTATAACGAGAATCTCCATCAGTTGTCATGGCAACATAATCACAAATGCTAGCTCAAGTTCTAACATTACATTCATCACGGGGGTAGTGATACTAAAAAAATCTTAGATATAGATGCCATGAGTACACATAATAACTAGTAATTCGCTTTGTAGTGACCTCTCTGGCCAACACAAAAAGAACTGACAAGGTATGAGTAGAGATGCATCTTTGGCCAGAATGCCGGTCAGCACTAACCAGAGTTGAGTGTTCGCAGATTAAAGGAGAGAAATGGGAACAGAGTGCAGAAAAACTAAGCATGCAGCATATCAACTTATTGCTATGAAGTCACCAGAAAGACTCTTTGGATCAGGCCCAAAGGTGTATATCTCCAGTTGCAGGCAAAACTAGTTCAACTAAACTGAGCTTCAGAATTCTTTGCATCTAAAATGAAGCATCAAATGGAACAATGCATTTGTATGATTACCCACATTTTTACTTTAATTTGCTTTTTGTGTCTATTTCAGTGCTGCCAGAAAAAAATATTATATATTTAAAAAGATAATGACTAAACTTCTAGTTTGCTATATAGAGTAAAAGGGTATAAATTCCTGAGAGAGGCTTAAACAAAAAGTATGCATAACAAAAAATGTTGGGCAACCACCAGTTTAAATATGTAAAAATCCAACCAACCAAAAGTTAAGCACTACCGATTTTAGTGGCTTAGTGAAATAAAATGGCCATACTGTAATGTTCAGAGATCTTGTCAAAGAACAATACAGGCATTCTGTTAACCAGCTAATGGAGGGTCCTCTTGTGTCTAAATGTGTCTGAATAAATAATTTGTGTCTTATGTTCACTCTTAATACAGATAGTTATAATCTTGAAAGTAAGTTAACAGGATTTTTTTTGCACATTTTTAGGGCTCAATTGTGGCATTAAGACAGAGGCTTGCAAAGAGTGCCTGTGAGCCATTGCATCTCACAGAGGCATCTTATCCTAATTACAGGTTTCAGAGTAGCAGCCGTGTTAGTCTGTATCCGCAAAAAGAACAGGAGTACTTGTGGCACCTTAGAGACTAACAAATTTATTAGAGCATAAGCTTTCGTGAGTAAAAACCTCACTTCTTCGGA